ATGTGGGCTATTCTTTTATATAATTTATTTTTCTGACCACCCCTGTGTTTTCCCATTGGCGCACTCTACTCACTCAGTAATTTGTAGTTTTCCGGTGCACGATCCTCGTCATCTGCCTCCAGGCAGGGATTTATTTATCCTCTTGTCTTTCTACTGCCTCCAGGCAGGGAATTGTGACCATGTCACGGTCGCCATGTAAAAGGTTATTTCTTCCACTTGTATAGTTTTATAAGTGTTCCACTTATAATTGTTTCTTAAACTGATTTATGAAGGCACGTCAGTGCTGTTTTGCGTTGTTCATAAGAATATTTTATTCAGAGTCAATATAATGCACTTAGCCTATGGATACATGAATATACTTATGCTGTTATTGGTTAACAGCTACAAAGAGAGGGAGAGTGAGTAGCTTGCATATGCCTGTGTTAGTGAGCGTATATATGTTGCTCATGGAATGCGGTCAGACGGTGCGTGGGATATGCAGCGTTAGCATAAACGGTCAGCTGGAGAGGCTAGTGAACCGCGCTGCGTAATATGAGCCAGAGCCAATATATAAATTGGCTCTGGGCTTCTTTTATGTATAATTATTATTGTATGCAACAAAGTGCCGCATACTTTATATTTGTAAATAGGGTGTTCTTTTCAGGCATATACACACTAAAATATATAATGTATTGAATAACTAGGAGGACACTCGTTTTGTCAACCACTAATAAATAAATATATATATATATATATTTCGGCTCTCTTTAGACTGCCAAAAATAACGCAACCTTCTGCGGCATCACTGAGATCAATGATTGACACTGTCTCCGCCATCTATGGCTCACTCCTGTCAATAGGTGATGACAAAAAGATTTCTAACGCGATTCTCATTCTCAAACAAAGTTTACCCAATGGCCAGACGAAAATGGGAGGATCAACTCGATTATGCAATCATTCCACTATGGAGTGATTGTGAAACAGCCTTGAATCGAAGATATCAACACCTTTCTGCTGAAGATTCAGCCAAAGCTTCGTCCGATGGCCCGAAGCCAGAAACAACAATCGAGGTTCGTTTTCGTGTTCTGTGGCTAGTGGAAGAAACGATCAACTGACACCAAAATGTTTATATTGCGGTTCCGAAGGCCATTCGATATTGAATTGCTCAGCATATGCCGTGTTATCAGTACAACAGCGGTTTGAGTTCGCTAAGGCGGCTCCTTTATGCATCAATTGTCTTCGGAAGGGGCACACTGTTTCCAAATGTAAGGCTAACAAGTGCAGAGTATGCAGTCGTTCTCATAACACACTGTTGCTTAGATACTCTGCCGTTTCTAACACTCGAGCGTTACCACCACCCCTTGACTCCGCACAGGATCAACCATCGACTTCACATGCTATGCATGCGAATGTGTCTGATAGTGTAATCCTAGCTACCGCAGTCGTTAGCGTTAAGACGAGAAATGGCGAGCTCGTTTTGGCTAGAGCTTTACTCGATTATGGATAACAAATAAATTTTGTAACTGACGAGCTAGCATAACGATTGCAGCTGCGTAGAGAAGAGGAGAAGAGAAGAGGCAATACTCAAGTAAGAAAGAAGATTCATACATTGGTGAAGTCGCGAGTCAATTGCAGTGAGTTCTTGTTAGATTTTTGGATTTTGAAGACCATTTCTGGTTACCAGCCTACCATACGGTCAATGACAGTGGTTGGAAAATCCCTGAGAACTTGCAATTGGCTGATCCATATTTTCATAAGCCACAAAAATTCGACATGCTCATCGGAGCTGAGACGTTCTTTGAGCTTTTGTCTGTCGGCCAGATTAAACAAGGTCCGAATTGTCCGATTCTGCAAAAGACACTTATTGGGTGGACTGTATCAGGGCGTTACACGCCGTTAAGTCATGAGAAGACTCATGCTGTCAATCTGAGTTGCCAAGAAGAGTCTTATACCTCGATAGACAAAACATTGCAGAAATTTTGGACATTGGAAGAGTTGCCTTCAGCCAAAAAGGTCCGAACAGTTGAACAGCAGTTATGTGAGAGCCACTTTTAAGATAATTTAGAAATACTGCCGTCAGGTAGACTTAAAGATTTAAATCAGATCCCAATCAGATTGGTAACTCCTTTGAGGTTGCTAAGCGTCGTTTTTTGTCGCTTGAAAGACGCTTGTCTCGAGATCCCGAGCTTAAGCGCATGTACTTGGAATTCTTGGAGAATATTTAACTTTAAGTCACATGTCTGAAATAGATGATCAGATTCCAAGTACTCCACACTATTTCATCATCATCCGCATCAGTGTGTTTTATGACCACAAAGCACATCGACATGCTCTTCGGAGCTGAGACGTTCTTTGAGCTTCTGTTTGTCGGCCAGATTAAACAAGGTCCGAATTGTCCGATTCTGCAAAAGACACTTATTGGCTGGACTGTATCAGGGCGTTACACGCCGTTAAGTCATGAGAAGGCTCATGCTGTCAATCTGAGTTGCCAAGAAGAGTCTTATACCTCGATAGACAAAACATTGCAGAAATTTTGGACATTGGAAGAGTTGCCTTCAGCCAAAAAGGTCCGAACAGTTGAACAGCAGTTATGTGAGAGCCACTTTTAAGATAATTTAGAAATACTGCCGTCAGGTAGACTTAAAGATTTAAATCAGATCCCAATCAGATTGGTAACTCCTTTGAGGTTGCTAAGCGTCGTTTTTTGTCGCTTGAAAGACGCTTGTCTCGAGATCCCGAGCTTAAGCGCATGTACTTGGAATTCTTGGAGAATATTTAACTTTAGGTCACATGTCTGAAATAGATGATCAGATTCCAAGTACTCCACACTATTTCATCATCATCCGCATCAGTGTGTTTTATGACCACAAAGCACATCGACATGCTCATCGGAGCTGAGACGTTCTTTGAGCTTCTGTCTGTCGGCCAGATTAAACAAGGTCCGAATTGTCCGATTCTGCAAAAGACACTTATTGGCTGGACTGTATCAGGGCGTTACACGCCGTTAAGTCATGAGAAGACTCATGCTGTCAATCTGAGTTGCCAAGAAGAGTCTTATACCTCGATAGACAAAACATTGCAGAAATTTTGGACATTGGAAGAGTTGCCTTCAGCCAAAAAGGTCCGAACAGTTGAACAGCAGTTATGTGAGAGCCACTTTTAAGATAATTTAGAAATACTGCCGTCAGGTAGACTTAAAGATTTAAATCAGATCCCAATCAGATTGGTAACTCCTTTGAGGTTGCTAAGCGTCGTTTTTGTCGCTTGAAAGACGCTTGTTTCGAGATCCCGAGCTTAAGCGCATGTACTTGGAATTCTTGGAGAATATTTAACTTTAGGTCACATGTCTGAAATAGATGATCAGATTCCAAGTACTCCACACTATTTCATCATCATCCGCATCAGTGTGTTTTAAGACCACAGAGCACATCGACGAAGTTACGCGATGTTTTCGACGCGTCCTGTCGGACATCGTCTCAAATTGCGTTGAATGACCTTCTAATGGTTTGACCGACCATTCAAGAGGAGCTGTACTCGACTCTGCTTCGATTTCGACTCCACAAATATGCGTTGACAGCTGACATAAAAAAGATGTAAAGGTAGGTCATGGTGCACGAAGCGGATCGAGATGTCCAGCTCGTAGTGTGGAGAAAGAACCCATCTGACTCTTTAAGGTCCTTCAGGTTAAACATCGTAACTGACGGCACGGCGGCTGCCCCATTTTTGGCAACACGGTGTTTAACAAAGCTAAGTGAGATGAGCGAGTCATCACACCCTAAAGCTGCTGACGTTATCAGGCTCGACTTTTACGTCGATGATCTACTAACTGGTGCTGCATGTGCAGAGAACCTTCAGACAATTAAGTCTGCAGTATCGAAAATAATCAAAAGCGCAGTTTTCGAACTAACCAAATGGTTTTCGATTTCTCCTGAGTTCTCCGCAATAAACGCAGCTAAGTCGATAACGATCTCAGAGTCTGACACAACCAAAACACTTGACGTGTTGTGGTTGCCGAATGAAGATGCCAATTTAAGATTGACGATTCATTCATGGGTGTTAGGGCGACAAAACGGAACATTCTCTCGGTGACATCGCGGCTATTTGACGAGCTTGGCTTGTTAAGCCCTCTATATACGCAGCCACACGGCAGAAGGTTGTCGTATTTCGTTGTTGACATCCAAATCTAAAGTAGCCCTCCTCAAGACGAAGACTCTTCCCCGACTTGAGCTGTGCGCGGCTCACCTTCTCGCAGATCTTTTTCATCGAGTCAGAAATCTTACAAGATTACAGATTGAACGGACGGTTCTTTGGTCTGATTCTGAAGTCACTCTTCATTGGATTCGGTGACATCCTTCGTCTTTGGCAACATTAGTGTCAAATCGACTGGCTGAAATCCAAGAATGGACAGAGAAAGTTGAATGGCGCCATGTACCTACAAAGCAAAACCCAGCAGATATTGTTTCAAGAGGCTGCGATGTCGATGAATTACTTGCGTCGATGTGGTTCGATGGCCCTTAATTTTTGAAGGAACCAAGAGAATCCAGGTCGGTTAACCAGCATCTGATGTCAGATGAGATGGGAACTCAAGAAGTCCGCAAAACAGCTGTTGGACTAGCAGCTATGGTAGACCGACCAGATATCTTGGAAACTATGGATAGTTTCTCATCGCATGCCACGCTGCTGAGAGTGTTTGCTTATGTGTTCCGCTTTATTAAAAAATGTAAAAATCGAGAGGTACAATTTGAGAGTATCCCTACGGCGCTCGAAAGGAAGGAAGCTTTCGAGAAAATGGTTGAAGTCATCCAACGATTTGAATTTAAAGATGACATAGATAGAGTTCGAAAGTTCTTTATCCATTTACACATGAATATAATGGATAATGGTGCTCCTTTTCGTTGTTGCGAGTAGGGGGACGAATGTAAATGCTCCTATTTCATATGATGCCAAGTTTCCGCTACTTTTGAATAAAAGCTCGCAATTCGCTAGAAGCTTTATTAGATACCTGCATTTGACGAATTGTCATGCTGGCCCAAGAGCACTTGTGAGTCTTCTTCGTGAGCGACTTTGGGTAATCAACGCTCAAGAGGTCTGTCGTCAGACAGTGAGATCATGTATCCGTTGCTTTAAATGCAAACCTCGTCTACTAACACAAATTATGGTAAATTTACCAGCAGATCGACTCCGAGCTCTCCGCAAATTTTCGATCTGTGGCGTCGATTTTTGTGGCCCAATTAGCACGACTTTTCGAATGCGTGGAAAGTCTACGCATAAGTCGTACATAGCACTGTTTGTTTGCTTCGCCTCCAAAGCGGTTCAGTTAGAACTAGTATCTGACTTATCCACTAATACATTTTTAATGGCATTTCAAAGGTTCGTCGGACGTCGAGGAGTCCCACAGACCGTCCATTGCGACAACGCGACGAACTTCGTAGGAGCAAGTCACCAGTTCCTGGAGTTGCGAGCTCGAATCGGGGAAGAGTTGGACGAAATTCGTGAATTCGCATCAAAAAGCGGATACGAATTTGCGTTCATACCGCCAAGAGCTCCACACTTCGGGGGTCTGTGGGAGCCAGGTGTGAAGTCTGCAAAGTACCTACTCCTACTCCTGCTGCTAACGGCCTAGGAGCTGCTGACGACTCTTGTCGCAGTGGAAGCCGGCCCCAATTCCAGGCCCCTGGGAGCAATAAGCGAGGACCCAAGCGATGGCGATGCTCTAACGCCAGGCCACCTACTGGTGGGAGGCCCATTGAGGGCTCTGCCAGCAGAGGGGACCCTGGACCAGCAGGGTCTCACCTGCTTGAATCGATAGCGAGCTGTCTCGTTGCTCAAGCAACAGTTTTGGCGGCGATGGTCAAAGGAGTATATGCTCGGACTCCAAGAGCGGAGCAAGTGGCACCGTCACCTGCCAAACGTCGTCGTGGGAGAGCTGGTGGTCGTCGCCGAGGACAATCTGCCGCCCCAGCAGATCGGCAGTGCCCGCAGGAGAGGACGGCGTCGTTAGAGTGGCAGACATTATGACGGCTAGTGGCGGAAATTTTAAAAGGTCAATCCACAAGTTGGCTCTGCTACCCATGGAATGAAGCCCCCAAGCGATTAAGGGTGCGGTGGCCGGTGTTGGCGCTGATCCGCTCATTGAGTTTAAAAATGAATTTAAAAACATGAAGTCTACTGTAAGTTAGGTTTAGAGCAGAGCAAGAGCGCAATAAAGCTTTATCACTCGCTTTCGAATTCGCGTAATGTATGCTTAAGTCTGTTGTCGAATTATATCAAAGCGATACGCATATCAGTCTTTTAAAGCCACCACAATTGCCAATTTGTTTAATTATATAAACTAATATAATTTTTCATTGGAGTATAAATCATCAAGTAAAAATTGTTAAATGATTCCTCTTTTAAGTAAACAATTTATTTAACCAAATTTTATTTTCACAAATTTCTTTACGTCGTTATTTCTAACGACTTCATAGACATTGGGCTCTTTAAGATTTTTTAAATCTTTTTGCAATTTTATTTTGTCATCGGCGCAGATGTTTTCCTGTCATTTTGATGATCTTGTTTGTCCATTCTTATATTTCTTTCATTTCTATTAATGATTCTATATTTATTCCTGCCGTAAACATATGGTCTAAAGTGTTTTATTACCCAGTGAATTGCAGTTGGTTCCTGTGTGAAACTCGTGACTCATATGCAATTGGTAAACGCATACCGTTGTAGTCTTGAGATAGTACCGCACCACATACATGATTACTTGCATCTGTGGTTATGCAAATTTCTTTGCTGAAATCAGAGTATTGCAGTAATGTTGGTTAATTAGTGCCTTTTTTAGGTAATTTAGTGAGTCATCGCATTCTTTTGTCCATTCGAATTGGACATTTGGACAATCAAGTCAATATTGTGAATATTGTGCGAAACTGTGAATTAATCGTCTGTAATAATTACTGAACGCGACGAATCGTCGTTCACTATCCGCATCTGTAGATATTGGATAGATTTTTATAACATCATACTATTTATCACCCGGAAGGATGAATGTAACCTCATGCATGAAGAACGAACATTTCTCTGGATTTCATTTTAAATTGTGTTTTCTACACAGGTCGAAAATATTTGACAAATTTTTAAACATGTCCTGTTCAGAACAGCAAATGACTACTAGCTCATCCATGTATAGAAATGCTTGTTGTGGTTCAAGACCGGAAAATGCGAATGTCATCATTCGCATGAAAGAATTTGGGGCTACTTTTAAGACGTAATCGCTTGCGGCGATGAGAGCCGGAACTCGTCAAAAATGATGGTTTATTTCTAGATTTCGCATCTAGTTCTATTTGGGTAAATCCAGAACTTAGATCGAGACATGAAAAATAATAATAATAAATAATATTCAACTACTAATCGCCATTTTTTCTCCTTTGAGTTTGGGAGATATTTCTTGGGTACTAATAGAAGTGGGCTATTATTAATTTTTCGGTCTGTTTGTTTATTTCAAGCTTTTCTGTCTCTGCATTTCTATAATTTTTAATGTAAACTGGGTTTATGTCTGCTAGTCTTAGTTTTTGTTTATAAAATTTTTACTTGAAATTGCTTCTGTTTCTAACCAAATATATTGTAAAATATTCATTTATATTAATGTAAGCTGTTGAGCATCTTTATAATCTGGAAACATTGTATCAGCATAGTACTCATTCTGTAATTGAGTACTTGTTCGGATTTTTACTCATTGCTTTAAGTTTCTAATAAACGTTTAACCGAACCACCTACGTGTGTTTTCTTTATGTGCATCTTAGGCACACTAGAAATATCCCAACATTGGCTATGGGCCCAGTTGTTTCGGTTAAATAAGTACACAAAGTGTCTACCTTTTTTGAAAGATTCGTTTTGTTAAATTTTCAAAAGTTTATTTCGTGCGAAAAATAACGTGGTAAAATTGTCAAAATGGACATGTCGCATTAAATAGAAAAACTTAGTGAGGACAATTATAACGTATGGCATATGGCCATGAAAAGTGGTGATGGCGGACCTATGGACTGTTGTGTGTGGAGAATATGTAAAGCCAGTTGGAAATGTTGACGATACTGAAAAATGGATTAGTGTCGCCCAAAAAGCAATAGCTTACATAATTTTAAATCTGAAGCCAACACAGCTGATGCATATCAAGTCATGCCCAACATCTGCAGCCGTATGGAACAAATTAAAGGATATTCATGTGTCAGTTGGACCGCTTAGAAAGGTCAAATTTTATCAAAAATAGTCGCATATTTCAATTTATTTGTTAAGACAATTGAAAGGTGGCAGAATCAGACATTAAACTCAATGACGAGTTGCAGGTCATCATGCTTTTGAGCTGTTTACCAGACAAATGGGAACATTTTGTAATCGCTATTGAGACACGCGATGAGCTGCCCAAATTCGAAGTCGTCCAGGTCAAAATGTTAGAAGAGCCCACGCGAAAGCAAAAAACAGCTAGCAGAGACGGCATAGGGACACCAGAAGCAGTATATACACACAAACAAAATGACCGCAGCAATTCGGAGTCATATGTTTTAATTGCGAAAAAGAAGGGCATCGAGCGAGCGATTGCCGAAATATAAGGAAGTGTGATAAAAAGAGCCAAAAAGACGAAAAATCTCTATGCTTAATGCACAGTTATGTCAAGGAGAAGCAAAAGAGTTTTTGGTGCGTTGACAGTGGTGCAACATCGCACATGTGCTGCGACCGCAGTATGATCCTTACGTATGCTGATAAAAAGACGTCGATAATGTTGGCCGCAAATAAATTTATCGATTCACCCGGCAGTGGCAGTGTTGAGTTGCAGTGCAATAGAAGAAAACTAAAGCTGCAAAATGTTTTATATGTCCCTGATTTAAGCATGAATTTTTTATCGGTAAGTGCTACCATATTTGAAGGGAAAATTGCGCTGATAAAAGACAAAGAAGGCAACGCGATAATAAGGGCAAGACACGAAAATGGTTTGCATATGTACAAACATAGTCTTGATCAGGTTCATATGCTAAATAGTTCTGATTCATCTTACTGTTGCGCTGTGCGCAGAGCCTATGGGTCAGAATAATAAGCAATTCACTGCATTTTTGATCGAGTGCAGTAAAAAAAGGCAATTAACAATTCCTTACACTCCGCCGCAAAACGGTGTGGAAATGACAAAAAGTCTTCTAATTCATTCAAAGCTTGAAGAATTTTTGTAAGCAAGCTGTTGCAACAGCAGTTTATGTGCGCACCAGATATCCCACAAAAGCATTAGCTGGAAGCAAACCATTTGAGGTATGGAAGAATCGCAATCCATCAGCACTTGAGAGTATTTGGCTCGCGGGCATTTGCACTCGACAAAGTCAGAAAAAGCAAGTTCCAAGCAAAGGGCAATGAGTACATTTTTAGTGGTTACTCCTTTACAGCAAAGGCATACCTGTCAAATTCAGTGAAGATGAGTTTGACATAGCAACAACTGATGCATGTAGTATTTCAGACGGAAATAACTTCAAGACGTACATTATCCCCTTTGAGTCAAATCATGAGGTTGCACGATGAGGTATTAAGAAGCATGGATTTTAAAAGATTCAAAAATGAAAAATGCTTATACGTCAAGCAAAATCAACAACAATGCAGCTACATCGCTGGCTACTTCGACGATTTAATCATAGTGTGTCCCAGCGATAAATACATAGCCGTGATTAAGAAAAAGATTGCATTAAAATGCTCGTTGGAGGCCCTATTAGCTATTTCCTAGGCATGGAAATCCAACGCGAAGGCGATCGAGGCTCCGTTTCGCTGTGCCAGAAAACGCATATTCATGGCCTACTGGACAAGTGTGGCATGAGCAATTGTCGCACACCGCTTGACCCAGGTTTTGAAGTAGGCTGCAACGACGATAATTGTGTCAAGGTAAATATAACGCAAAATCAGTCATTAATTGGTTCGCTTATATACTTAGCAGTTTTGAGCCGAGCAGACATTTTGCATGCAGTAAAAAAATTATCACAAAGAAATGCTGATCGTCATGGAGAACACCAGTCAGCAGCAAAGCACATTCTATGCTATCTTGCGGGTACAAAGAATATGAAATTAGTATACCGTACAAAGGGCAAAGCACCAAAGCGCGCAACATATTGCGCGAAATCCAGTCCATTATAAGCGCACTAAGCACATATACATAAGGTATCATTTTTTACGTGAAAAGGTACAATGTAATGATATTGCATTAAATAAATATAATTAAAAATATTGCAGATATACTAACAAAATGTTTAAGTAAGCAAAAGCACGTAGGCTTTTTAAAAACACTTGGATTGTATTAAATTTGTTATTTTGCAACTGATTATAATTAGCTTAAAAAGAAATGTTTAAATAGTTACTGTAATCTGGAAACATTGTATCAGCATAGTACTCATTCTGTAATTGATTCTCATTGCTTGAAATTTCTTTTAAACGTGAAATTTCTTAAGCTACGTGTGTTTTCTCTATGTGCATCTTAGGCACACTAGAAATATCCCAACACAAATCACTGAATTTAGTACATAGCTTATTTTTAAATTGTTCAGGGAATTTTAGTTTTTTCAGAACTTCATTATATTCATTGTTTTCGTTTGCAATTTGTGTTTTGATTTCGTAATCTTCTATTGATTCGAATTTAGCTTGTGGATTTTTTATTTTTATATTCTTATTTGTTGTATTTAAAATACGAACTATTGCTCTAATATTTGCTACTACACTGTCAGCTATTAATACCCCAGGGTGAATTTCCTGGTTTGGTATCAATAGAGTATTTTCATTGGTCAGAAGTGTAATTTTTCTCATTAC